GGGTATGATGGTGGAATGGGGTGCAGAGGACGGGTATGATGGTGGAATGGGGTGCAGAGGACGGGTATGATAATGGATTGGAGTGCAGGGATGGAGAGGACGGGTATGATAGTGGAATGAAGTGCAGGGATGAAGAGGACAGGTATGATGGTGGAATGGGGTGCAGAGGACTGGTATGATGGTGGAATGGGGTGCAGAGGACTGGTATGATGGTGGAATGGGGTGCAGAGGACGGGTATGATGGTGGGATGGGGTGCAGGGATGGAGAGGATGGAGAGGACGGGTATGATGGTGAAATAGGGTGCAGAGGACAGGTATGATGGTGGAATAGGGTGCACGGTGTCGGTTCCCCGGGTTCCAGGCTCCTCGGGGCACTCACTGTCTGAACATTCCCTCCATGTCTTTGATCTGCTGAACTCCTTGAACTCGGTGTAGGGATTGAAGACCCTCATGCTGGGCTGCTCCCTCTCCCCGTCCTCCGGGTCCCCCATCCGCAGCCGCCAGTTCAGCCTGGATGCCAGCTGGTCCCCAGCCATCGTCCCCGCCCCCCCGGCTCACACTTGTCGCGCTCACATCCCTGGCACCCGTCATGTGACCGCAACGGCCCAGCTAGATGTAAGGAGCACCAGGATTGGAGGAGAGCCGGGGGCTGGACCGTGGTGTGTGCGGTGGGCATGGCGTGCGCGGCGTGACGAACAGACAATTTAATAGATGGCCGACTAATCGACGATGGAAAACGTTGACAACGTTTTCCATCGTCGATTTTAATCAACTAAATCGAATAGTTGTTGCAGCTCTAAAGCAAACACACCAATAGGGCCTATTTTACCTAGCAAAGGATTTGTTTCCATCCAATTCTGAGGTATTCATGTGTTTTGAGTGAGTACACAAGTTTATTAGTAGGTTAGATGGCACCAGTTTAAACAGTTTAGCAGTTCTGAGATTTACACAGCTCTGCCACACCACATGGCCCAGTCTGGCAATAGATCTAATTTTTCTCTTTTTAGGTTAGAGTAAATTCCCTTTTCCAGGCGAATTTGGGAAAATGACTAATCTGCTCCCTCTACCCCACACCGCTGCACTTGCTCCTTCCCCTCTGCGGCTGCCGGAGAGGGAGCACATTGCTGGCAGTAATTCTATTTTCCATAAAAGGAAAGTGGAATTAACCTTTAAGTAACACTTACAGGTCTTCATTTTTCATCGAGTCTGTGACTGGACAGTTATAGAATAGGGCTACAATGAACGATTATTTTCATAATCGATTAGTTGGCCGATTATTTTTTCGATTAATTGGAATAAAAATACATATGACAACAATTGCAGTGTTATAAAGTTTACTTCAGAACAAAACTGCATGCAAATTTTTTGCAATTACACTGCACTGGAACGCACGTCATTGCAGTACTAGGTGTTCTAGTGTGGGCGATCACACTGCGGGCGGGAGGCACGTTTGCGATGCCACTGAAATGAATGGCACCACAAAACACATCCCGCAACAGAATATGTTAGACCGAAACGAAAACTGACTTTTCCCACCTTTTTAATAATTAATTGCCACCTTTGTATGTATTATTTTAGACATTTTAATTAGTTTCATGGACTTAAAGTAATCTGAATTTTAAAACTTCACGTCAATATAATAAAATATCAAACCATATATTACAAACACACACACTTGCTAAAAGTATTGGGACACCCCTCCAAATCATTGGATTCAGGTGTTCCAATCACCTCCATGGCCACAGGTGTATACAAATCAGGCACCTAGGCACGCAGACTGCTTCTACAAACATTTGTGAAAGAATGGGTCGCTCTCAGGAGCTCAGCGAATTCAAGCGTGATACCGTGATAGGTTGCCACCTGTGCAATAAGTCCATCCATGACATTTCCTTGCTACTAAATATTCCACGGTCAACTGTTAGTGGTATTATAACAAAGTGGAAGCAACTGGGAACAACAGCAACTCAGCCACGAAGTGTTAGGACACGTAATGACAAAGCGGGGTCAGCGCATGCTTTCCAATATCAGTACCTGACCTCACAAATGCGCTTCTGGAAGAATGGTCAAACATTCCCAAAGACACACAACTAAACCTTGTGGACGCCTTCCCAGAAGAGTTGAAGCTGTTACAGCTGCAAAGGGTGGGCCAACACAATATTGAACCCTACGGACTAAGACTGGGATGTCATTATTTGCGTGTAAAGGCAGGCGTCCCAGTCATCAGTTGAGAGTTAGCCATGAATATTGGCCTCACTCTGGCGCATGCAGCAATACCTGTGTAGCGAAATCCTCATTTTCGTATGCAAGTGCACCTGACTTGCGTTTCTGTTAGTATGTGTGAGTTCGGGGGAGTTAAAACTTTTTTTGGGGGGGAAGGAGTATTTTTTAATTTTTTTTTTTACTTCATTGCCATCACATGGGGGCTCACAAGCCCCTTATGTGATGGTTTATTGAAGTTGACAGGTTCTCTCGTGTCACCTTTCCATTTCACCGGAGAATGACAGCTGCCTGCTGAGGGAGCTGAATGTAAACAAAGCAGGCAGTGGATGTGAGCAACTGGCTAGTTTAAATTGCAATAGCCATTAGCAGGCAGGCTATTGCACCTGCCCACTGCCTGCTGTCAATCAGCAGAGGAGGGAACTGGATAGGAGACTTGACGCTGGCTTTCTAGCGCCAGCAGAAGAGGGAGCATGGGGGAGCAGCGGAGGCGGTTCGTGGGCAGCATCGGAGGCAGCAGAGGATTATCGCGGGCGGCATCAGAGGAGGATCGAGCGGCTTCAGTGGTCTGTGTCCCCTCTGATTAAAGGGTAAACACACCACAGCATGCAGCGGCTCCCAGCTAGGAGTAGAATTGAGAAGCAGAGCGGCAGCAAAAATGTAACTGATCGGAAACCAACTAAAATCGACAACAATTCTTATTATCAATTAGTTGCTGCAGCCCTAAAGAAGAACAAAAGACTAATCAGCTCATCTCTGTCACTCTGCTCTTTCTTCCTATCAACATACCCTTTAGGTGACCTGACCCATTTTAAATGTATCTCTTTAAAAGGAAGATATCCAAACTAAAGCTGCTGGAGTATTTAAAAAAAAAAAAAATAGATTAAATATATGCAAGTTCATTAAAAATTACTGAAAGCAGAAACCTGACTGGTTAGGAAGTGTTTCTGTACGATAGCGTTTTGTACCGTTATTACAATAACCCCATAGAAGTCAAACTATTTCAGATCAAAACATACCTCACGTGGGTCAAAATATGATCTAGCCAAGAGGTTTTCCAAGTGAATGTATCTTTCTGGCTGGGTCTGTTTCAACATGATCATGGGATCAGTCTGTCTCAGGAGAGATCTGGCAGCTCCCAATTCACGAAGTTCAATCAATTCCAATACAACCTGGAAATTGTAACAATAAAACACAAATAAGATATCATACATACACTATTGCAATGCTTAAGGAAAAATAGACATAAAATTAAAATGCTATGAATTAATTACTGTGCAATATAATATAAATACTTTAAATAGGGTTTCACAAGCATAAGCAATTTATAATGCAATATTCATGACGGTACTTCATACATAGATCAGAGATTCGCTCTGATGTCCAATCAGTATCTTTGATAAAGGAATACTTGGATAACAGACTGCACTGATTTAGACTGCACTCTAGCAACAAGCTAGAGACGCAGAAAGCTTCTCTGATTACTGTGCCTAAGTAGAAAGTAGAGCCAGCATATATTGTGTAAATATGTTTTCCTTTTTTTTTTTAAATAAGGAAAATTGGTCAGGTTTTCATTACTGTGTGAGCTTCACCTTTACAGAAGTCAACAGAGCATTGCCATTTTTATTTTAACTGTAATGTCTTCCTTTTTATTATAAAGCACTGCACAAACTGTTGGTACTATAAACATCCTGTATAATAATTAGAGGTGCACCGAAATAGAAATTTAAAAACCAAAAAGAGACATAAAAATTGTCAGGCCGAAACCGAAAATGTTTTTATTTTAATTTTTTCAAATTTTTATGAACATTTTAACTTTTAATATTTATTTATTAAATATTTTTATTTTTTACTTTAATGGGCTTTGGGGAAATATTAGGAGTCTAAACAGACCCCTGATATTTCCCTTTTAAAATATAAAAAAAAAAAAAGAGATTGAGAACACAAAGTCCTCTCTCTTTTTCTGTATCCCCTGTTATCAATGAACAGGAATCCTCTATGAGTGTTCCTGTTTATTCATAACATGAGGACAGAGTATGTTTACTATAACTACAACTATGAATGAACAGGAGGTGATGTAGATCACTGCCATTCATTTATAATTGAGGATATAGTAACCATACCATATCCTCAATTATCTACACTCAGCGATCACTGATCACTGAGTGTTTGCTCTCCTCTCTGACACAGGAGGCTGAGCGAGCAGAGCGGAGAGCCCAGCTTCCTGTGACAGCGCTGTCTCCGCCCCCACACCGCTCTGCGATAGGCGGCCGAGCGGTGTGGGAGGAGAGACACTGGCCGCTCACAGGGCTCGGCCGGCTGTCACTTTCTCTCCTCCCCGCTGGGACACAGAGCAGCGTCCAGCGGGGAGGAAAGAAATCAGGGATGCGCCGATGTATCGGCACAAAAATGGCACTTTCGGCATTTAGCCAAAAGTGCCATTTTCGGCCGATATGTTTTGGCGGCTGATATATCGGTGCATCCCTAAAAATAATACAATAAAAATATTTAGGAACCTAGAGGACTCCTCAAAGGACTACAATGAAAATATATATTTTCCATAAGGCAAACAGGAAGATTAGTCAATCTCTGTTACACGTATAGTTTTTCCCCCAATCATATCAAGGTGTTAAAAACCTCGTTTCCAAGTACAGTTTGTATTGATATATGTACAGAAGTGTGAAGCCATGTTTGCTTTTTAGGCTCCTTCTTTGCACAGTGCTACACAATGGTTCTGGTTTATTGCTCCTCCTTAAGCTAGCAATACACTGCTACATTTCTGCTGAAATTTCTCGATTCCTCCATCAATGCTCAAAGAGTGTGGATGGAGGAATCTCTTTTGCTGAACACCTGAACAGTAATTGTATCTGACTGGATGCAGTCATTGTTTAGCAGACACTTTTTCACCTGGCTCCTTTTAATCAACTTTTGTGGGTTTGAGTGGTGTCGACGGAGCCACCTACGGCTACAATTTCAGCGGATTTACCTAGAATTGGTCGGAAATCAAAGCAGTGTATGGCCAGCTTTAGAGTGCAGTTTGAGTAGACCAACACGTTGATACAATGCACTTCCAGTGTTACTGATATCTTGTCTCAGCAGCCGTTAGACAAAGAAATTAATCTACTTTGTCCCTACTGACTAATATACAAATCTCTACATGTAATAAAAGAAAAACTAATAGAAGAGCAAAATTATAAAAATGTGGAAGTCACATACTACAGGATCATAATACTATACAAAATAAATGGCATTTATCCACTACATCCTTACCTGTTCATAGAGATCAATGAGTGTCTTGTCTGGCAGCTTAAGTGACTGTATGGCTTGCAGGACAGTATCCCAATGCCCACTGTTAATGTCCGCCACAAAACTCTCAATACTGTCCACAGTGTTTAAAGACACCGTAGTTTCCTCTTGCAATGTAGCCAATGTACGATGCAAATTATTTTCTTTTAGGTATTGCATAATAAGACGTATGACACTGAGGAGACAAAGCAATTGTTTGTTAAACTTTCCTTAGTACATTTTAGCACAACGTATATATGTGGCCAAAACATTTATTTTTTTCCTTTTTATACAGTGGGGGAGGATTAGATCCCCCATTAGCATTTAATGCTCTCTTGACCCTGTTAGGAGGAGCAGGTGAATCTCCAACAAAACAGCAATGCAAAACCTCCTTTGCAGATAAGACTTTTTTTTAGATACGGGAAGCTAGAATCTCTATCAGATTTCCTTCCCAATGCGTCACCATTGGAGATTTCCTTCCCAATGCGTCACCATTGGAGATTTCCTTCCCAATGCGTCACCATTGGAGATTTCCTTCCCAATGCGTCACCATTGGAGGTTTCTTTCTTTTCTAATCACAACATTGTTACTGGGACAAGTGGGGTGATATCAACAAGACTTTAGAAGGCAATAAAACCCTGACATAGATTAAAACCCTTCTCCACTCTATCCAAAACTAACAGTTATTCAGAAAAGGGTGAAGAGTTTAGAGAAGGCAGGAGAAGTGACCAATCTAGGACAACATCGCTGAACTGGAAAGTGAGCTGATCTGAAGATTTATTTCCAAATCAGCTATTTTGGCCCAGATTGTTCACTTCGTAATAACAGGCTGAAAGTTAAACTAAAGGGTTTATTCCCAAAAGTAGGGATGCACCGATAATTTTTTTTTGTGGTACTCGCCGATACCAATTAGAGTACTGGAAATCCCATTCAGGAAGCCAGGTGGCGTGTAATGACTCGCCACCCGGCTTCCCGATAAACAAGAAAGCCGACCCATACGAATCCCCATAATAATAAGAATAAGATCAAGCATGTCTCTGCAGTGTGAATCTCTGCCCCCTCTCACCTCGGCATGTCCAGCCTGCCACCCCCGGGGCCTCTCCAGCCAGGAGCGGCCTTCCTCCGGTAGCCAGCTGGAGCCGTCTTGCTGGCCAAGTATGGAAGCCAGGCGCCGTGTAATGACGCCGCACCCTGCTTTCCGATTGGCCGGGAGGTCAGCTCCATGCTCCTTCGTCATGAGATGACGAGGGAGCATGAAGCCGGCTTCCCGGCCAATCAGAATGCCGGGGGCTGCGTCATTACACAGTGCCCAGCTTCCTGATTGGCCAACTTCCCGACCAATCAGGAAGCTGGGCAGCACATAATTATACGCTGCCCGGCTTCCAGATTGGCCGTGAAATCGGCTCCATGCTCTCTCATCACAAGTGACGAGAGAGCATGGAGACGCTTCCCGGCCAATCAGGAAACCGGGCAGCGTGTAATGAGGCGCTGCCCGGCTTCCTGATACAGGAAGTATCAGGCTAGGCATCGGAGCATTTGGGCGAGTACGAGTACTCTCCCAAATACTCGGTATCGGCACCGATATCATCAGTACCAGTATCGGTGCAATCCTACCCAAAGGAGTGAAGAATTTGGAGAAGGCAGGGGAAGTGAACAATCTAGGACAACACAGCTGAACTGGAAAGTGAGATTTGCAGATTCATTTTCAAATCAGCTATTTTGGTCTACATTGTTCACTTCTCCTGCCTTCTCCAAACTCGTCACCCTTTTGTGAATAACCCTGTAAAAAATGTCTTGGCTAGAGAATCACTTTAATGGAGGAGTTTTTAATATATATGTCTTCTGACTGAAAGTATAAGAGAATGTGGTGTTTAATCAAAACAGTTTTAAAGTACTATACAATACTGATCCAGGTCTCATCTCTCTCCATTTAAGCTTGTGCTAAGTGCTGGACCTTTACAGGTTTATGTAAATATTGCACATATTCATCCCCATAGACTTCTATGGCAGTGGCTGAAAAATGTATACAGGAATCATTTCTTATGCATTTCATGCCTAACCACCATCTCCTTCCCCATCTAGTAACTAGTTTTCCATTGACAAAAACAAACATACTCAAGCCTTAAGAATTTCTGAAAAAAACAAGCAAAAAACTAAGTCACCTAATAACACTCACCTCAAGTATAATTGGGGGCTTAAAGGAGGATTATGAGGCGAGTGATTTTCACTCAGCCTCATAATCTGAGCCGACGTGTGGCAATGAAACTGTCACAGGTCGGCTCAGTAGATCGGGAGGTGAGCGAACATATACCGTCGCTCGCTCACTTCTCGATCTATGCCTGCAGAGAGCAGTGACTGTCACTCACGGCTCCCTGCAGGGATCCCCCCCCCCCGATCCTCCAGCCCTGACTGGCGTAA